TGCCTGGCCTTTGTCTTCTGTTGTTACAACAATACAATCTTTATAACTGCATAAAAGACCACCTTCACATTTTTCTCAATAATCATGGTTAACAAATGTTCCATATCATGATAATCATATTCGGTAATGATAATAATTAATTAATTCTTGAAAAGTGGAGTTAAAAAATGTGTCGGTACAACTTGTCTATCAGTTAGCCAACAAATTTGTGAATTTGTGAATTCATATGAATTCTATATACTATGTAGTAGGTGGCACAGCGGTTAGGACACTCGCCGACCATGCGCACATGATATGGGGTTCGATCCCCAGCCATCGACGCACTCCTTTACCACGCTTAGCCAGTAATAAGACTAGTGAAGAGGGAAGGTTGGGCATGAGGCTAGCAATCCCATCCCGTAAAAATAAACACCACTGCTACTGAAACTTCAAGCCTCTAGTCTGAAGCCATCCTATGTTCCACTGGGAACGTACAGGAATCAATAATAAAATGGTGAAAGTGTAGCTCATTGGCCTAAGCACCAGATTTTCAGTCGGCAGGTCATGGGTTCGAGTCTCGCTCCATCTACTACAACCTAGGCAATTGGATAATATCATCAACTCTTAGTCTTCATAATTATAAAAGATTTGTATTTCCCAATGAATGAAAAACAAATCGATATTGTCATTCCACATAGATCAGAGACGTCAGACGATATCATCAGAAGGGTACTCAATAAGCACGACATCAGAGTTCTCTTCAAAACATCAGACACGCACACTAAAAAGCAACCTTGTCCATGTAAAACACTAAATCCCAAAAGATTCTCTATCTAATTGTTTCTATAAAATAAAATGCTCGCTTGGAATGTGATGCGATATACATCGGACAAACATCACCAGGGAGAAATCAAAATTAGAAGAAATGAACACCGTAGAGCAGCATCTGTTCGACCAATGAAGAATCAAGTTGAACTAGAAAACCTTGGAAAATCGTCAGCCTTAAGTCCACACGCTGTAGAATCAGGTCACAAAATTGATTTTGACAATATTGAAGTCATCATCCAGAAAAATTTTGGAAATCACAAAGAACGTCTAACATCATCAGAAGCACTTCATATCAAATGGAATCCACACTGTATGAATAGGAATGATGGACTAATACAGAATTTGATCTGGTTACGAACCCTTCCCCCACTTCGCCAAGCAATGACAAAATCAATTTCATTACGTACACACATGCTGCTTTTATGATTTTAAACGCTTATCAAATCCAAAAACGTACACTTGGCTTTGTTATGTTTACCAATTGACCGATTTGACAACGCAGAAATGCCCCCATGCTAATGAACCATGATTAAGTTGTTACATATAAGCAGAGATTTCGTAAAATCTGGTTTAATATTACTACTTTGATAAAGCTATTAGCAGCAGCATAAAATAGCGAAATACCAGTAAACACAACAATATCGTTTTGTTTTTCATTCATTGGGAAATACAAAAATCCTTTATTATAATGAATATCATTTACCCAATGCCCAAATTTTTTCAAACTGTTAAAAGTGAACTTGGTTTGGTCACATTCTGTTTTAGTCCATCATTCCTATTCAGACAATTTGGATTCCATTTGTTGATATGAAGTGCTTCTAATGAAATGAGACGTTCTTTGTGATTTCTGAAATGCTTTTTCTTGATGATGATTTCAATATTGTCAAAATCAATTTTGTGGCCTGATTCTATAGCATGTAGACCTATGGCTGATGATTTTTCAAGTTTTTCTAGTTCAACTGGATTTCTCGGTGGTCGAACAGATGCTCTACGGTGTTCATTTCTTCTGATTTCGATTTCTCTCTGGCGATGTTTGTCCAATGTCTATCACATCACATTCCAAGCGAGCATTTTATTTTATAGACACAATTAGATAGAGAATTTTTAGGGAAATACAAAATTTTTCTTATTATAATGAATATCATATACCCAGTGTCCAAATTATTTTTCAGACTGTTAAAATTGAACTTGTTTTGGACACACATAACTCTTTGTCTGATACACGGAAAATCTGTTCCACTTAACTGAGGCCAGACATCTGATGATGAATAAATCCATGAAGGTATTGAAGTATACTGACAATCTCAGTGATTTTTTTATTGCTTTACGTTCCCAGTGGAATGTAGGGCTTCAAGCTAGAGCTTTCTTTGAAGTTTCGGTGCTTACTTTTACGAGATGGGATTGCTAGCCTCATGCCCAACCTTCCCTCTTTGCCAGGCTTATTAATAGTTAAGCGAGGTTTGGAAACCGCGTCGGTGGCCGGAGATAGAACCTCAAACCAACTGAGTGGCTGGTGAACAGTCTACCTCTGCACTACCGACGCACAATCCAAGTCATCTAGTATTGCAAATACTGTATACATATTACTGAAGCATTCAACTGACTAAAAGATTAAATTACAACTGCTAATAGAAGTCCATCACTTCACTTTGCTACAGCTCAAAATAGTCAAACAAGACAAAAGGAGCATAAATTGACCAATATTTCAACGGTCAACGACGACAAAAGTAAAAGGCGAGAGAGAGAGAGAGGGGGAATGAAAGAGGACGATGAAATGAAGACTAGTCAAGCTTTTCTTTCAGAAATCTGTACATAACAAAAGGGGGAATAAGTTTTTTCATACCATTGTGAATAATTTCTGGGTTTGCGACCCAAGGATCTACGGAACTTTGAGAATTTACTGCACTCATAATGGTACCTCATCAATATAAATATTGTAGAAAAAATCTTTCAAGACAGAAACATGATATTAGATGTACATAGAAATCATAACTTTAATAGAAATCCTTTGTAGAGAGTTACACAGATTCAATTATATCTGAATATTTTTTTTTCGCGGGGGGGTGCGTACTGATGAAGAGCCAGTCCCAAACTAGTAGGACAAAACAGATGTCTGGCAGTACTCCCAGCTGGTTTTCCAACGGTTCTCTAGCTGATGTCAGCTCATAATGAAACCCTCCAGCCAATCGAACACAATCCCTACATAAACCAATACCTGAAAAGTACCCAGACAATCTTTAAATTATGTAACTTAGTGACCTGTTTCGTCCTTGTTTAAGACTCTTCATCAGTTCACACCCATGACCTCACCATAGATGGAACCCTTAAGGTTACCGGACGAGCTCGTTGACCATTCAGCCACTGATGGGGTCATGCGTGCTCACGGACGAAGAGTCCCAAGCAGGGGCGAAGCAGTTGTCGTCCTTTCCTCCCTTGTTTTCAGTCATTCTCTACTTGAAGTCAGTTCACTGTGTCTGCGAACTAAAGCTTGAAAATCGATTTTCACTGAAATGTCAAGAAACCCCTACCCTTTAACCTCCTTTGTGACACTTAGAGTATGAAAATAAAATCCTGAAATTAACCGAGACTGACAATGAACTTGCTTGTTGAAGCAACCTTCCTAATGTTATCCACTGTCCGACAAATTGATGTTTCAATTACCTTATTATTTATTACATCTTATGTGCCTAAAACAGTAGCTATACCTCTTTATGTCTTTCTTTCCATAAGAAACTCACGCAGTACAAAGTTGATAATAAAAGGAATTCATTTGATGGCCAGAATAATCTTCACACTTACTGAAAATTATTCTTACGAGTTGATCACGGATTGATATCAGGTAGAGAACCATTAAAAACTTGCATTGGAGAACTGGACAGCTGTTTCATCAGCCTAGTTTGGGAATTATCAGCAGTACGCACCCACCACCAGGGTTCGAACCCAGGACTACGATGAAATAGCTATCCAGTACTCCCTGTGACTTGCTTTCAATGGTTCTCTAACTGATATCAATCCGTGATCAACTCGTAAAAACAAAACTAATCCTTACAAACCAACCATTAAAAATTATTCACTTCATGGTTACTCCCGAAAATGGCTTTCACAACAACTTCATAAATCATAATTTGGCTACTAACAACAATTTCACTAATGACTTAAAACCATTATCACAGCTACCATTGTTATCATCAAAACATACAACTACCTTAAACCTTCTTATAAGATAAAGTACACATCGTCTGAACTTAATTTTCTGAGCCGAGATGAATAGGACCTGGAATTTTCCCTAACCTTTAGAAAATTTCCAAGAAATAACACTACAATTATTCTAAATCAATCCTTTAGATAACTAACGTGAAAAGGCTTATCAACAGCTTCTTCAGGAACCGATAAGAAAACTAGACCAAAACTAATCAAAAGATGTGAACTACAAGTGCACACAAGTACATTTAGCATCTTTTGTATCTCAGTCACCAGTACAATACAGCTATCAAATGGAAAAAAAATTAGATGGAGGATTTCATCATTAGCTGACATCGAGTTAGAGAACCATTGGAAAACCACCAAGGAGTATTAGACAGCTGTTTCGTCATAGTTTGGGACTCTTCACCAACACGCACCCATCGCTGAGGTTCGAACGCAGGACCTTCTGGTTACAAGGCGACCTCGTAGACCATTAATCCACTGGGACCCGATCCGATAGCCCATTGTGAGACGGTCGCGCTATGTCGTGAATTGGCAGAAGTTAGAATTCATAGCCTGGCCATTGGATCGGGTCCCGGTGGCTCAATAGTCTACGAGTTCGCCTTATAAGCAGAAGATCCTGCGTTCGAACCTCAGCGGTGGGTGCGTATTGGTGAAGAGTCCCAAACTAGGACAAAACAGCTGTCCAGTACTCCTTGGTGGTTTTCCAATGGTTCTCTAACCGATGTCAGCTCCATCCAATCAAACAAAATCCGTACAAAACCAATACTTCGAAAATAATTAGTCTTAATTACGAAAAGGTATAAGACAATATAATATCTACCACACAATCAACCATATTTTTCTCATCCTTATCACAAAGTAGCATTTTAATTTAAAAAAAGGAAAAAAGCCGACACATTGTGGGAAGAATGTTTATTTAATATTGGTTATAATATGTATATATATGACTTGGCAAACCAACTAATACTATTACAGAATACAATGGTAAGCATCTCTGTGAAATCAAAGTTAAGTTAAATTAAGTAAAATTAAAGTAGTGAAGCAATTCAAGAAACAAAACAAAAAAAAATAATATTATTAATAATTAAAAGAGAAAGCATCTGAAAAAGTTTTATGTCATTCTTTCTTAAAGATAATTATAAATATAATTTATGACATAGACTAGATATGCTAAAATGTGGGAGATGGGTGATCGTAGTCGTCGTGGTAGTGGTTGTGGTTGTGGGTGGGGGGGTATGTTGTAATCACATGAATGACACGTTGTTGTTGTTGTTGTTGTTGTTGTTGTTGTTGTTGTTGTTGTTATAATATTCTGTTCTAATAGGCATGATTAGCGACAAAAAGTGATTGATCTCCCAAAGCAGTTGCCAAGCTTCCTTCAAATTTACCCAGTGCGGCAGCACCATTGGCCTAAAAACGAAACAGTTGGAGAAGAAATCGTGAATTACTATTCATATTTATTTTTAATCACTATAATGACTGACTCTATTATAAGTACAAAGCTGATAAATGCGCTTCCAACTTAACCCAGCAATAATCAGAAATCAGATTTGAAGGCTTAAAATGATAAGAACTAAACAGCTCTGTCAACTAGGACTTTAACCAGAGATGTTTGCACTCTCTCTCTCCAGTGTTAAATGCCGTAAATTGTAGAGTTCTAGGTAAGGAAAGCAAGTCGATCTATTAAGTTTTAAAACTATATCATTTGAAAATGGCTACAACACATATTACGTCTGACGAGTCACCGCCTTCCCTGACGAGCAATATAAATTGTCCGACTGTTATTTTGAGCCGCGTAGAGAGGTGTAGACTGCCCGGTCGGGGCACTAGAAGTGCTAGGAACCAATAACTGGAAGCTGTTGGTTATACAGCTCAATGGCGCAGATGCATTCACTCTCTGTATTCGCCTATATACACAAAATCCTCACGTCTTACCATGTTAATATTCTTTCTCACTTACGTTTCTGCTCATTATGCTTCTTTTGAATTTATTCCTTTTGTCTTTAATCTGCCTCTGTGTGCCAGATAGAGTGTAGCAGCTTGAACTGCTGCATTTCTGTACAAAACTCTGTGTTGAAACTCAGACAGTCAGAGTCGACTACTTGAATACTAAGTGATGAATTTCTGTGGCCCTGCACACACTTTGGTGCACACTTTGGCAGAAGATCGATCACTTAAACCTAATCGATGACTACTTACAAACAGCCAAAGTGTGTACCAAAATCCAATTATCACCAAAAACCAAAACACTATACCAAGATGCAATAGAAAAAATTATCTGAATTCATTGTTATTCAAGCCATCAAAGTGCAATACATGAGAGCAAAATCATCTTAGAGAGAAAAAGACAAAAATTCAACTTAAAACAATTACCTTAGCCAATTTCAGTAGTTCTTGTTGAGCAGCAGCTACATTCTCAGGTTTTCCTTTCCAAGCTGCAAGAACAGATGCTTGTAAAGCTCGACCAAAACTGAAGGTAAGCGCCCATGGTTTACGACCTGGAACCTTATTTATTTCATTCAAATTCTTGGTAGCATCCAATTCTGATTGACCTCCAGACAAGAATGTAACACCTAGAGTAATGTATAATTTAAAAAATTAGGCTTTGTTAAGAATACCGTCTAAAGATTTCAAGCTAATAATGTTTAAATTTACCAGAAGTAAAATCGTACCTGCAACAGCTGGTGGTACTGTGCGCTGTAATGCACGTACAGTAGCCAAAGCATTCTGCTGGGGTGTGTAAGCCTTTTTGCAAGCTTGTCCAGCAGTAACCATATTGGGTTTCAAAAGTGTGCCTTCCAAGTAAACGTGATGGTCAGCTAGAGCTTTGTACACAAATGATAATACTTCTTCTGTGACTCTTTGAGCAGTTTCTAAGTCATGATCACCGTCTGGAAGCACTTCAGGTTCAACAATGGGGACCAAGCCATTCTATAATGTTAATGTATAAAAGAAACAATCTTAGGATATAACACAAAAATAAACAGACAAACATCCAAAAAAACATAACAAATACATCACATAAATGTTGTTTAATCGAATAGGTACTCACTAAAATTCACATTTCTGACAGTCTATAATAATTCTGAAGGTGTGTATTCTTGAAACTAAGCACTCTGGATATCTGCATTAACAGATAACTCTGACACTTGTAATAACAAAGTACGGTGTAATACTTCTTAAGGTGGGTACTGAATAAAAAACATTATTTTTACTTCAAAAAAATAAGTAAACCCATATCCTAGCTTTCATTGCTCTATCCTATATAAATTTATGTAAAAGCTACGGCGTTCCACTTCGGTACTTAGATCTTACACGTAATCCCTATAAGTTTTTTTGACGACACGGTATTCTGTTTCCAGTAAGTCAAAATTAACGTACTACATGGCTCTGAATAACATTACATAGGCAGATACATTCTAAATGATCTTTTATAGACACTATTTCCTTTTAATGCACACAATTCATTTCAAGTGCTTACTACAAAACTGTGTGACTTATTTCACTTATGTCCAAACATTTTAAGGACGCAAAAAACTAGTTACTTTTCAGCTTTCTAAAATCACATCTTTAATAGAGCATAAAACATCATTTATTTGTTTCAACATGGCCACCAAAATATGCACCGCAGTAATACATCATATAATTAACCATTTACTTATTCAACACTACAATCCAGAGAATATAAACGCCACAAAATCATACAGAAAATCGTGGTGACAGATTTCTTTTGCAAACGGGACTAGCAGAAAGATTTTACAAAGTTACCTATAACTTCCGCCAAAAATATGGAACATATAACGTACCTTTAGAATAACCTCAACTGTGGGAAATATCTTCATGAGAGCACAGTAATAAATGCACTCATCCAAACTAAAACTCCCCTAAACTGGTTGATTATTGATGACTCCCAGTACATCACCACAATAAATAGATAATTTAAATTTGTCTCTTGTACGAGGTTAAACTCTAGACAGGTTTTTGTTGTCTACCGAATGCAGTGTTTAAGACATTTCTTTGCATCTATAAACGGTACTTCTGTATATAAAATACGTAGGTTTATAATAAACTCTAGCACTAATCTACTTTTATTTTATTAACCTGACGTTTAATCTCATCAGTGGACAGTTATAAACGGAAGTAACACTTATTTGATTTGATTTTACAATCTCAAATGCGTTTTAATGAAACAAAAATTACCCTAATGAGTAACATTATAGTGGTCTCTAACACAGCAAATATCTTGTGGGTGGCAAATTAACACTTTATCTGACAGATGAATAAAAGCCCACATTTGACTGATAATGAAACATACCTGTTGGCAAATTGAAGCGTAGCGTGCAAGTACATTGGCATTTTCTAACATAGCTAGATAAGAAGGTGTATGTGCAGTGATCTTCAGTACACAGCGCCACTTAGCGAACCGACAGCCCAACTTTCTGTATTCAGCACAACGTGAAGCAAGATCATCGAGTCCTTGTGTAGTGGTCTCATTATCTGTTCCTCCAAGTGGGACAACACCCTTATCCACCTTTATCCCTGGTATAATGCCGCGTTCGGTAAGTAGGGTTGGAAGTGTCTTTCCGTCATCAGATTTTTGATAAAGTGTTTCTTCAAACAAAATCACACCTGAGATATTTTGAGCAAGTGAACGGTCAGCACTGAAAAGCAATTGTCGGTACAATCGACGATTTTCTGCAGTGTTCTCAACGCCAATGGTCTGGAATCTTTTACCGCAAGTGGCTTTAAAAATTGAGTGATCAAAATAAAATTAACATACCAGTGCTTTCATCAGCCGCAAGAATTCCTTTACCTGGGGCGCATATGGCCTGAGCTATTTCAAATAGATCTTTCTCTTGACTCTCACTCAGATAAGGTTGAAAGCGTGACATGTCTTAAGAATCAAATCTATAAGTGAAGCAGAAACCTGTTATCAGTCAACTATTGAAAAAGTAGTCAGAAGCAAAAACACTCACAACAACACTAACTTTAATCACGTACACAAATAAATATGGTTAGAGTACAAATGGTTAATATACCAGTGGCTTACTAAAACAAAACCACTTCAATATACAATGACTTATTCCTTGATACAAAAACTGTAGATTGAATGTTTTATGCATAACTGGTTTGCAATGATTGAAAATGGTAACCATAATAATTGGGTTTTTCTTACTTGCACACATTTGAAATTAAGCAGACAAAATGAGTTCACAAGTATATACTCTTATCTGATGAGAGAAATCGGTCCTATGGAATTAGCCTTTAAGGCTATACAATCCTTTCCGAATACCACTGCAGTTCGACAGCGAGATTCCCAAGTTTGCTGATTCTCTGGTTGTCTTACAAAGTGTGTTACCTCACCAGGGTTGTCAAGCACAAGAAAATGTTTGAACACATGAATATTGAATAAATTGCTCGTAAATGCTGATACAAAGAACTTCAGTGGACTTTTACTTGCATGTGTTACTCAGGTTTTCTACAATGCATTCTCAGATAATTATACTCCTTCCTTCAGTGTCTCACACAGTTATTACAAGCTGGTATATTAAGAAGGAATCCCTTCACAAATGGCCATGAAAATGGTCACTGTTATTAGCAATGCCTGCATGATAACGCATATTACAGGTGTGAGACAGTCTAATCAAAATAAGTTTTTTATATGAAGAGTGAAATTAACAGGTTGTTAAGCCACTGAAAGTGGATAATAGAGGATTCTTAGGAGCTCTCAAATTCCAGGACAAGACATCGAATTACAAATGAGCACAAATTTTATAATAATAATGACTTGTTCTTGTACTATTTTTAAGTACATATATTTCGCCATGGATTACAATGCGACTAAGGTCACCCGTATTCGATCAACTAGCAAAACTATTCACCTAGTGCTATTTTGGCCCGATAATGTAGAATCATGGTATCGAATAGCCTAGTCTGATTTCAGTCAGCATGGAATCACTGACCAACGTTTACAGTCCCTAGAAGTTGACCACGCTCCACCGCGGAAATTAAGCAAATGCGCAATGGCATATTCCAAGCCCATATGTATGTAACCCATATGTGGTGCTTATAGCAGCCCTTCCAAAGAGATATTACTTCACAGATCGACAGCTTCTTGACGAACTATTTTGCATCGTGGAGTTAGGTGATCAGTCGGCTGTGAACATGCTAACGTGAATAAGGGAAGTTATTGGCCAACGTCAGTTCGAAGATCTCTTCTTATCCACAGTCAGTACAGGCTGTTCTTGTGGCTCTTCAAGGTGTTAGATTCTAGAAATAACAAAACGGCCAGTCGCTGAAATGTGCTCAACTGCCAAACAGACTTCGAGTATTGACACAGCAGTGACAGAGCTATACGATTCCGTTCATCAACTACTTCGGTCACATAGTGCCCGTATCTTCTTTTACTGTCTGTGGAGTTCCCCTCAGTGGTGAAACCCACGTGGTCTGTCAAGATCCAAGCCACATTAACTTAGAAACCCTGACTGGTTTCGGTCTCACATCGCCTATGGCCAGAGAGCGAAATGCCGCCGAAAACCTTGTGATTTCGGCAATGTCCCGCCAGCAGGCGTTAGCGACAACCGCTGCCGGTGGCAGTAGTCGACCTCTACACATCCGTGATGTAGTCGACTACCCCCTTGCTTCATTGACGCAGGCGCCGCCTATCAAAGCAATCACCTACGTAGACCCCAGGTTGTCACTGGTTAGGAAAAAGGCGATCTTTGATCCAACTTTTCAGCTGATTGTTGACAGGTACCCGGAACTAAAATGCCCGTCTAACGATCTACCGTGCATAACCAGTAATCTTATGCATCGCATCATAACCTCAGGACAACCCCTGACACCCAAAGCACGATGACTTGCTCCTGACAAATCACGACTTGCTGGAAATGAATTTCACTATATGCTCACCCTTGACATCATTCGGTCATCAGATAACCCATGGGCACTCCCAATGCATATGGTACCGAAAAAAGACAGCAACGATTGGTGACTCACTGGTGAATACGGACCACTGAATACAAAAACGACACCTGATTGCCATCCATTGCCTCACATTCACGACTTGGTGGCGACATTATCTGGTGCAACTCTTTTCTCAAAAATAGACTAGGTTAAGGTGAATAGCCAAATCCCGATGGCACCACATTACATTCCGAAAAAGGCTATCATTACGCTCTTCAGACTTCTGAATTTCTGCGTATGCGATTCGGCCTCCGGAATGCAACACAAAGATTCCGACGTCTCATCGACGAAGTATTTCGCGGCTTCGACTTTGTATACACATACTTAGACGACTGCCTCATTGGAGCTCAACCTAGGCGCTTGAATTTTGCATTCGAAAGCCTACGCCGATATGGTGTTACCATTAATATTCAAGAGTGTGAGATAGGCGCTGAGTCGACTGACTTTCTCGGCTACACCACTGACCACAAGCGTATCCGCCCACTGGCTAGTAAAGTTGAGGCGATACTGAACTTTCCAGAGCCACAGACAGTGAAAAGTCTGAACACTTTCAACAGCTTGGTGAGTCAATACAGACGCTTCATTCCTAAGTATGCTTCGCTGGTTCAGCCATTAACCGACCTCCTTCGAGGGAATAATAATTCCATCGAACTTGGTGGCCTGCATAAAATGCTTTCATTCAGGTTAATAAATCTATTGCGCACAATGATAATTAAAATTTCGTATAAACTGGTGATTACAAGAAATGCATGCCATTTTTACAGGCACGATCAGTTATGTTATGAACTACAATCCTGAAGTATCGTAAATTAATACTTTTTTCCAAAAGTGTACATTGTTCAACCATTGTACAAGCAATCAGAGCAGGTTATTATAAACGTTAAATTGTAAACCCTTCAATAAAAGTCACCACTGAAGTTGAGCGACAACCCAAACTTCGCTCCGTTTCCTGCTAATAAGTATGGTCGACCAGTGAAACAGCGTATATTTGGGTAAGTGCTATGTCGCCACGTAATTAAACGCTATTTCAGGGGGAGAAGAACGTCTTGGAAAGCTGCAAAATGGTATCAAATACAATTATGGATAATACATCATTGAAACTGCATTTACAAGATATACAAGAAGGAACTGGAGACTACTAGGAATGATAGTATACGGTTGCAATGTTTAATGCCAACCATATTGGTCTAAGCATGAAAACTATGATGTTTTCTATGAAAATATAGCTTTGTTCAAACATCGTTGTTACCTTTTTAATCAAAGCAACCAGACTTTGGGCAAGCAACAGATATGTACAAAGAGTAGGTTTTTTGCTTTAATAAAGGCCTAGGTAGTTAAGATAAAGTAGAGTAGAGTAGTGCGTAAATAAAGAGATTATAGTGAGGTAGGTAAGTGATATTTCAGCGAGAAGTGAATTCAAGGATCTGGAAAATTAAAACTCGTAGGACAAGATGACCTGTAGGATGTCCCACGAATTTGTGTAGGGTTTGTGGGGCAGCATCTTGACAAGAAGCTGAACAGGCTTGCGGATAGTTGGAGCGAAAGCATTTTTTATAATTTAGATCTATACAGACCTTATTGTTTTTTGCTAAGGACATAGACTAATGTTTAATTCTCGAGCCGTCAAAAAATGCATATTGCTGCCCTACAGATCATAGCGATTCGCATTTATGACCACTACCATGTCTGCCGATCGGAATGCGCCACCCTCCCTCCTTTTTGATGTTAAGCTCTCAGCTTATTTTGTCAATAACTTTAGTTGCAGCATTGCATTGCTTTGAGCCCGTCCCAGTGACACAGTATGCTGCACACTATTAGCTTTCATGACAATTGCTTCCCATTAGGTCAACAGATACATCCATACCTGAGGACATTCTAAGCGGTATCACCTTTATAAATGCATACACGTATATAAGTATTTGTTGCAAAGGACTAGTAAATTGAGTTTACTTTAAGAAGCATGGGTGCGTCGGTGGCAAAGCGGTTAGGACGCTCACCGACCATGCACATGGTCCGGGGTTCGAACCCCGGCCGACGCACTCCTCCCTTACCTCGCTAAGCCAGAAATAATGCTGGTGAAGAGGAAAGGTTGGGCATGAGGCTAGCAACCCCATCCTGTAAAAATAAACACTGCTACAGAAACTTCAAGCCACCAGCTTGAAGCCCTATGTTCCACTGGCGGAACGTGAAGGATAAAAAAAAATTAAGAAGCATGAGATATAGAAGTAGCTAATACTACAGCAACTAAGTTGTAGTTTATTTAGCAGGGTTAAGTGGGTAGCAGAACGATTAGTGATAAAATTATGTAGGGTGATTTCGAAGAAAACAGCTGGTTAACAGAACTAGTTATGCTAAATCTTCATGACCGATTTTCACATGAAATGCGTGCAAATTAACCCTTCAACTTATGTTAAAAATACTGCGTCATGTTACCAAATATACGTTTTAGAATAGTATGTGAGTAAAGGTAGTTATTGGCTGAGTGAAGTCATTTCGACACAAAAGACAGCATTGTATTACTAGCTGTATATAAATGTAAAATAATAAAAGTTGTGGTTGCTAATATAATTGTTTCTAGAGTTACTTATATTAACACAACTTATTGAAGACTATAGGGAATGGAAAATCAGTAAATTAGTTAAACTTTCTCTGCGTGAGTAGTAGAGTCGAGTTATACGCAATTGATTACACTGAAGATTGGACTGGCTTTCATTTACCATTCTATCGACATTTTTTGTCTTTTAGACTAGCTGGGGTGGACATACCAATGTGTCTTTTTAGGCTCCGTTTGAACCCATTGGGGTCTTCACAACATCCAATTTCAGATGGCAGTTGGTTCCGAAGCGTGCGATATCTGATGGTGAAAATGTTTGCCCTAGTAGTTTTTCAGTGGGTAGCCACCTTGACAAGGTAGTCGTCTTTTCGC